ATATATAATCTGTACATTATACGGTAACTTGGTAACTATCTTGTTCGTGAAACTATTATTTTCTTCACATGCTTTTATCCTTCTTGTCGGCATTTTCCTTCGAGTGGACATTCTATTGTACTTTTTCCTTGCAACGCGATATGATTAGGCGCATTACGCAGCTTTATTCCGCCTCTCTTATATTAGCTATATCGCTTACTTTTTTCTCGGTTCGCCATATCATATTTCAGAGTTTCTTGTACCAACGTCACATGGAGAGATTGCTCCAAATAATAGCGTTGTCTCTTTCTTTCTTTCTTTCATCCGAAAATCGTCCTCATCTCAAGTCAAATGTATCGGTTTTGCTGTAACAATCGATTTCCAACCATTCATGTCGCTATTATATGACATCCGCCTCGTGTTTACTTGCTTTCTAATGAAATTTCATGGGCTATTTAAACAAATCATATACTTCGTGTATCTTTATCTTCCGGAAATTTCTATATATTATTGCCATATAAATATAATACGTATCACTTTAGAAATTCATTCTTTCTTTCTCAAATCTAGTGACATAATTAAATGTAACCAGTAAATTCAACGTATATGTAAACGTACAGCACGGAATGTACATGAATAATCATAACGCAAATCCCGTCCATTTGATTATCTCATCGTGGATAATGCAAGATATAATAGTTACCGCGACATAAATTCCATACATAAATGGAAATGAATTCTGGTTTAATTAATTATATGTTCAAACGCGATCGTTGAATATTTTGAACAGTGGTCTCGATTGGTCGGAAATACCGCATTATTTGCATAACTCGGTGATATGAACATTCAAAATTAGCAACTACGCACGTAACTATGTGTAGAGGCTATACGCGTAACATAGTATATGTTAGATGGTACACATAATTCACCATGGTGGCTTCCTGAGAATTTAAGATCAGAGAGTATGACAAAGAAATGGCGAGAGAGATGGAATTATGAAGTAAAAATTTGCAATGGAAAGAGCAACGTATATTGTTCATATTTATATATTTTATATTCGCTCGGGGATATCGTAATCTAGATAGATATCGTTCTAACAATAAGAGAAAAGTTGACTAGTACATATATTTAGACATTTAAAGCTGTGTATAACATCTAATCACATACGAAGTATACAGTTTATGTGTGTATATATGTGTATATTATACAATATATACACTCGTGCTATTATATATACGCTATTACTTAAGATAAATTAACTCGCGCGTACAAATATATACGCATGTTCCTATGGAAAAGAAACAATTCTTTACGGTGCATAGATTTAATTCATATAATTACTATACACACGTATAAAGATCGACCTTTCATTGTCGAGGTTCACGCCCAAATATCTCTTCCCCAGACAGCACAGAAAAGCCAAAAGGCATCTTACTTAAAGCTGTTTAAAAGACAATAAGACGTCTTTAAGATATACATGTATATACATAACGCGATTGAATTTAAAAAGATAAGATTGTATTACAGTTAACTTGAAGAATTTGCAAGAAATATATTATGATTAATTATGATTCTCGGCGATTAAAAATCGATGCGAGAATAGTTTTATTACGTATACCTCATCACGGTTTGTCGTAGACTCTGATAATTACCGTCTATATAATACATCAAATGCAATAAATACAATAATATGTTAAAGTGAAATTGTGTGTCATATTAATATCATTGTGTATTATTCGACGAATAATTTAAATTCAACAATAAAATTATTTCTACATTGCTGATTCTCAGTCTGTCAAGCGATTCATAAAAATCTATGTCCCACGTGTTCAACGTGTTCAAAAGGGATAATAATGTAATAAAAATTATAAATGAAATTATATAATTAATCCTTTAAATTGTCGGAAAGATCTCAGTGCCTAAGAATGTATATACTTTTGTATCTACTCAAAAAATTATTCGAAAGCCTTGCTGGTGCGTACACTTTAATAATATTTCTATACATCTTACAATTATGAGATTAAAGCCAACGACTTGAGAGCTTAAAGCTTGTAAATGTAAACTTTTTGATCTTATTCTTGCGCGCAAATACAGATACAATGCAGATGAAAGCTGTTGCACATTACGCAAACGTTGATTTTAATTTTGCCTACGATGCGGCATGTCAATCGCGCGCGTTTAGTGTATTTCATTAATATCTTTCATTTATAACTATTAAAAATTTATTCGTGCTATCCTTGTGGCATTTAGAGCCACAGAGTGGCTCTAAATACCATTAATCTCGGCAAACCCAGAATCATAAACATCGCATCATAATATCACACTTGTCAAAAACAGAAAATGTTTGAATAATGTAATACTTATTTATTTATGTATTTTCTATACATTGATCAGCGACTTGGTTTCCCCAGTTTTTTTTTTTTTATTTTTTTATTTATTTATTTTTTTTTTTATAATACGACTTGCTATCGAAAACCCGCGTGCCTAACACGATGGGTCGCTAAGAGTTATATATTAAAAGTCTTTTAACGTAAGAGCTTGTATTATTATTATTATTATTAATATTATAGATAGAGTAATCTACGATATTTAGTATTAAGAATTCAAAAAGAATGCCACAAAAATAAGAGAGAATGCAATATTCTCTCGAGTAACAAAAACCGAGATTGCTCATATAAAATTTACTGTTGATCCTCTTGACATGGACACGCTGGAACAAGTTAATTAATCTAGCTACAATTATATTCTCTGACATTATATTCTCATGTAAACGCGTATGGCTCAATGTTTCGAGAATATGCTACGAATATCCACGATGAATTACGTCATTGCCCTGACTTCGAAATATGACGCTTTGAGAAATCATGACATATATACACAAATGCAAATGTTAAATCGATACTTGCCTCCATCTCTCACGTTGCAGAAACTCGTGTGAGAAATGTTTATCGGCCGTTGTCGAACATGCATGGCGAACATTTGGCAAATTTGTCGCGTCTGTAATACACCGCATCTAATATAGTTCCTAGAGCGTATCGAGTATTTGCGAAACATTCCTCGAAACGGTTTCTCTACGCCGACGACGTTTGTAGTCGGCGCACTTTACGATGCACTTTCTACAATGATAAATATAGTTATCGAATCAGCTGTATTTTCTCTTCGGATAAAATACGCAAATTAAATAAACGGCGAGAACATCTTATTTTTATCGGATTCTTATACGATTCTACACGAATTAAAGAATATCAACAATTAAAAAAATCCAATTTGTTCTTTAATGATCTTGCATCCTGCTGCATAATTTAATCAGTGTCTTTTTCTTTTTTGCGCGAGATATCTTCGCAAGATTTCTAAATCCGGACCACTTCGCTATTTATAGCTCGGCTACTCTACTACGCGGCCACCTTGGATGCCGCCGTTGCCCACGCCTAAAGCCCACTTTCTGACCCTTATCCGCCCACTCAGCAGCTTTAACCGTACGTTAAACGTCCAATTGTCCAAATATCCAATTAATCAACTGTCCAATTATCTCGCCTACGAGACGAGTGAGCGATAATGCTACCGCTATGAGGTGCGACACGAGGGTGATAAATAGACTATGAGCCCGTTCGGGAACTTACATTATCTATGAGACCGCCTTAGCAGATAGTTTCACACTCGCGTTGGAGTCATTGTCAATTCACGAAAGTTTTGTCGCTCCTGTCACTCCGCTTCTCGAAATAGTCGTAGGCAGCCGAAAGGTCTTGTTCCACCTTCGTAAAACTTATAATCGCGTTTCTTTCTTGACTTTATTCACGTCTCACTGTCGGAAATTTTCCCCTATCTGACGGACCTCCCTCGACGATCTGGTCTGGGAATGAAGAAAGAATCAGGTCCATCTAAAAACAGAAGATGAGAGACGGTGAGTATAGAGAAAGAGAGAAAGAGACGTGGCAATGGAATTTCATTATCTGGTGGAATTTGAAGAGAGAGTAAGTCGCGAGAGACGTTCTGCAGCGGATTACATTTAAACGAGAAAATCTGACTGACTGCGAACGCTGGTGTCTCGTCTCACATTGATGCAGAGTGTGCTTGAGAAACAAATGATTCGTAGATTAACTCTTAGCCCTATCTTAGGGACTATCTATTTTTTACCGTTTAACCCAACACCTTGCGAGAAAAAAAATTATCAAGATTTTTATAACGATGAAAAAAAATAAAAACTAGAGAAAATAAAATATATAAAATTTTACTAATTAAAAAGAAATTAATGTTATAATTTAATTAAAATTCTCTTTTTTAGCACTTGAACTTAAATTATCTTATTTCTTGATTATTTTCTCAGTTATTTGCGCATTTCGATGTACATATCAAACTTTTTATCTCCCTGAATAGACTAAATATATAATCGTGTAAAGTAACTAAATGGTACATTTTTATAATTCATATTCGATTTCCGTCGTTATAATTATCTTAATAATAATATAATAAATAATTTTTCTTATGATAAAACACTGGCGATGACATTTCTGATAAAGTATGAAACACGGTTAGGATTATAAAATTATTATGGAACTTTCTGATCGACGAGTAGGTCTGAGAGGATTTGCGAAGTGGATTTGAGGTCTTTGAATCCTTTTTTTTTTCTCGACACTTTCCTTTAGAGAGTTATCAAGTAAGACATCTACATTACACGTCCAAAGTCTTGAAAGAGCTTTATATCATTGGAAAAGGTTTAAAAAAAAACTCGCTATGTTACGAAACACGTACAATACTATTCTATTATGTGTTTAATATTAAAGAACCGATATTTTGTAAGTATTGCTAATATCTTGCAATAAAGAAATAATATTTTATCATATAATCGTAAATATAAATATAAATAAATCATATTTATATTTAATATAAATCCAATATGCTTGAAAAACACATTTTTATACTTGCAAGATATAACAAATAAATATTACAAGTAAATCAATATTTGCAAAAATAAGGATGAAACATTTTCTGAGCGCGAAAATTGCTGAGTGACATTGTAAAAAGTTTAATTCACAAATGATTCATTTATCTTCCTTTATTCTTATATCTTGTAATTATATATCATACAAAGAAATTAATAGCAATTAGGTGATAAATTATATACATATATATAATGATCGAAATATTTTAAGTTTTATAATTAATAAGTACATAACAGAAGAAGACGTAAGAAATGTATTAAGACAGAGGAAGAAGATTTATGTATTTTTTCTTGTAGATTTCGCGGAACAGTGATCTATCTTCTATCTTATAGATAGATCAGATTATTTTGCATATTTTTATATTTTTTGATATTAAATATTTCAGCAATTTAAGTCTTAAAAGTCAAAATAAAATTTAAAAAATTGTGACGTTGGAGAAAATTTCGTCTCGCTATTTTTGGAAAATATTCTGTATATGTTTTTAGTATGCTTTGATTGTTCTTATCATATCTCTCGATATTCACAATTTTATGGAAATATTATTTTTTTTAAATATTGCGATTTAATTCGTACAGAGTTATTGTTAGATTCTATTGTTTTCAATGCATACGTAAAAGTTTATATCTGTAGTACGAAACGTGCGAAAATATAAATGAACACGTGCAACAATAATTAAAACAATAATGGACACATGCAACAATCAACAGATTTTTGATCGAAAAGCATCATTCCAATTTTTCCCGCAAATTTATTTTGGTATGCTGGTTGGTATGTAGAAACGTAAGAGCGAAAATTGGTTAAACGGCATTAAACGACAGAAGTGCGGTCATTCGCAATTTACAAATATATGAGTATTCCTTCATTTAATCGCGCTGCAAAATGGAATTAAATGGTGCCAAACTCGGTGCCAAACGCTTCTCCGCTCGTTTCCCATGCGTTAAAATAAATAAAGAATTAAACTAATATTTAAAATAAATGCTTTCAAAGTGCTTTCAAAGTAAAAAATTTCTATAAAATTTAGACATAAGGACATGAAGCTGACTAATTAATGCTTGGTTATTTTCCTGTATTTTAAAAAGCGAGAACACGCGCATGTAAATCTAAAAAAATATATTGCGGCCATTTTAAAGATGTAACGCTATAAGTTATAGAAAATCGCTGGTTCAGATAAACTGAATTCGTTTCACCAAAACTTTTTGTTTTCCTATTTTTTATAAAAATTGTTTAAATAAAATGATGAAAAAAATAATTCATCTTAAAAATTATTCACGATTTCGAATTTCTGCAATCTTCTATTTAAAAAATATATAAGTTTTAATTCAAGATTCACAATTATTATTTCAAATAAAAGATGTTCTTAAAAAAACGCTAATTTTTGACAAATATTGTATTATACATTTTTTCTCGATATAATACTCTCGAATATATATCAACATGAAATTTTTTTAAACTTCCACGATGCCATGTGTTATTGTATTAAGCTAACATGAGTTATGAACTCAATCTTTCGATTTGCTGCGGAGTCAGATATAAGGAAAGATCCGTGCAATAAATTTAAAGCGTCGAATAACGGAATCGATGTTACATCTGAACGTACGAAATGAATAGCGACGTTGACGGACTATTCAATTTACCTCGATTGAATCATGTTCCCTTTGTTTATGACATTCGTGGGCAAGCGGACATTTGTGGCGCATGCACGGGCTTTCTAACAGTGTCCAGTCAACCAGGTTCGTTCGCCGACCAAGGTGTCGCAAAACAACATCTCACGGATGGACTACAAGATGCAGATTGGTCGAGTTTCGGGACTTCGACCCGCGGAAGGAGTTTCGAATCCACCTGAATCATGCATGTAGAAACGGAGGATTTTGGAACAGAATCTTAGCTCAAGTTAACGTTAAAAGTTTTCAAATCGCAGAATTCGTATGTCGAACAATTAAAACCTTTTTAGTTGATAGACAGCGGCCTCAGAATTCAATAGAGGAGATACTAAAGTTCGATAAAACATCTCCTTTTTCTTCTTCCTTTTTATCTTCTTCACTTTCTTCTTTATGGTACCGCAATAATTTAAGTATGAGCGTTATATAATCGAATCTTTTTATGAGTTTATAAAAATCTTGTTTTTATCGGCTTTATAAAAGCCGATGTAAAATTACCACCAAAAGATATTTTCTGCGATAAAACATGTAATTCCTCCCATAAATCATAAAGCTATCGATACCATGCGCGTTTTTCTCGCGTGTTTTCGTTGCTTTCAAAGATTTTACGTTCGATACCAACTATTTGCTATCGTTTGTCAAGTATTCGTATATATTTTACAGTTCACACACATTTTCAGACTCATTGTCAGATAAAGTTGCATATATGAGATTACGTAATTACGAATAAATTCTTTTCAAATATACCCCCGCCATTCCGCCCCGAGTTCTGATTTTTATAGAATACGTAAACGGTCGTTGTGCTTTACTCGAGTCTTTAAGCAAAAGTAATTTTGGGTCTACATAACTCTCGCTTTATTCGTACATTAAATTAAAAGCGGTTCACCGAGAATGGTAACGATTATGGTAACTTTTTAATGATATTACAAGGACAACTTTTTAAACCACTGCAGAAAAAAGAGATGCTAACACTATCTCTTTTATAAAATGGCACGAGGAAATTCAAGGAGTATATTTCGAAAGATCGATAAACGCAATTTTGCGCAATTCTGTCATTCTATCTTTCGTTCCTCTCGATGATAACAAAACAAGAGCGCCATCGACACATATAACAAACAACGGCATGACATACCTCACGCTGGTACTTCTGGTCTGGCTGAGACTGGGATGCCTCGTTACGGATGATCGGTAGCCTCTTCTGGGGCAGCAAATCCATCCGCCGCAGGCAGCCGACAGGAAGCTCTCTCTGAAGTGCTTGGACATAAACCCGTAAACTATCGGGTTTATACAACTGCAATGCCAAATACTGGATTAAAGGAGCGACGGATTGAAAGTCGCCGACAGCTGGACCGCGGATGATGAAGCCGCTCGGAATGAAGCCGCAGTTGCGAACATATTTAAAAAAGTCCATGTAAAAAGAACGTAACTCGAGAGTATATAAAAAAAGGATTATTTGTAATATAACACATAATATCTATCATTAAAAATTAATAATATCTCTATTTAATAATTGATTAATAAAAGTGTTATCTCTAAAATATAATCTATTGAAGTTTATATTTAAATCGGGCACGAACTTATGCAATCACCTGATATATATAATAAAACAAAACAGCATTTTATTACCCGTTAGATATACAATGTCATTTTCCTAATAAAAAAATTAAATACATTCTACGTTCTACAATAAAATATATTTTATATTCTTTTAGAAAATAATATCCGTAATGTGATTTGATAATTAAAAGTTAGAAACGTTATAGAGTTATGAAACATAAGCGGAATTGAACAAATGTACGACTGAAAAACAATAATTCATTTTGTTTAATATGTTTGTATTCGTATATCCAGCTGACGATCAGTTTATTATTGAAAAATAATGAGCCATTTTGTCTTATACTTTTATACATACATGTCAAATATGTGTCTGGCATATCCACCAATTAATCTGAGGATTTTCATAATCCTCCCCAGAAACTTTGGACATGCGCAGCAAAGATTGTAATAGTAGCAGAACCGGATTTAAGGATAAAAGATCGGCGTTTTGAGGTTTGTATTAAAACAAAAGTCTCTGCAAAATCAAAATTTGTTTGCGATTGCTAAACATAAAGTAGAATGGTTTATTACTTTTTTACAAGTCTAGTTCTTGCTACTAATAAGAACTCCCACGCTGTCTCGGAGGGTACGTAGGGATGTCTATATTTACAAAACCAGTCCGAAGACAGGTCAAACTTAGGAAACTTGCTAAATTTGCATTATGTCATAATTTCATTGCGCTTTGCGATGCATTTTATTTACGCGTCGATTAGCAATTTGTTTTCCCATCTACAAAAAGCTTTTTTTTAGAAATCTCGTATTCAATTTCATACCGTATTACATTGTGCCCAGCGGTCAGCGGTCTCTAGTATTTGCTGTGTCGAGAGAACTGTTATAGGAAAAAGACCTTCTAGTCTTTCAATGGAAAAGCGTTGTCTGTCCACGGTACAAAATTTATTAAAAGTGCTAGTCAAAGAACAAAATATGAAGTATTTGTGAAACGGGTTCAGAAAAGCGCACATTATATACGAACAAGAGAGAGAGAGAGAGAGAGAGAGAGAGAGAGAGAGAAAATACCGTAAATTTAAATATAAATTTTTTATTATTTAAGAGAAAAAAAAGCAATTATAAAAATTTTTAGTATTAGATATCTTTCTCCAATTAAATTCCAAATCAAGCTTTCATTAAAATAAACTCGATTGTACGTTAAAAAAATAACGAAACATTGTTCATTTATTCATTCTATAGAGATTTAATTTCTCAATATTACATATTTTTCAAAGCGAGATTTTTTGCCATAATTAATTCTCCTTGCTAAAAATTCAATACGCGATTTGTCGAGCCATAATGAAGCCATATGAGAAAGGTAGTAACAAAAGCTTTTCGTCTTTTAATAAAAATCAAATCAAATTAAAAGCGTGAAATAAAATCACGTATAAAGAACAAGCGGTTACTTCTGTAGATACGTAGAATAAGAAATAATATCAATTTTTTTTCGAAGGGTAAAGATAATATCAATTTTTTAAAGAACGATTTTTTGAAGAACGGGAGAAACCACACGAGGCGGGGAATGCAATGTTTTCTCGTAACGACTAACGACCCGAATCATTTCAATAGTATGCAATTTATCTATTGCATTCAATATTGTTGCCTAGCAGCGACATGACTTGTTAAGCTAATCAGAGGTTGTTATCAAAATGACACACGGTGTATTCGCACAGATGGCCATTACAGCTATCATTCTATATTGCGTATGTAAAAAGCGAGTGGCACGAAAGAGAGAGCGGATACGCACATTTGGTAAAAATATAATAATTTCGCACGTGTCCTTGCCGCGTCGTCGCACTTCAATGCGCAATGAAAATTTTAATTCTAACCGCAAATATACCCACACACAGCGTAATTTCGTAAGAACAAATTGTATATTCAAAAACGCATATAAAACATCAAATAAATTTTTCATAAAAGAATTGTCACAAATCAAATTTACATGTCGAAAAGATCAAACATCAAATCTAATCAATACGTTCATGTATATTTTTATGTGATACCGGAAGAATTAAAGTTTTCTATATTTGCACTTCTCATGAAAAAAATTGTCGCGAAAATATTTGCATTATCGAAACGAAGCTATGATTGCATTGCATATGCGCATTATTGAAAAATTATGTTAGTTGAATTTGCCAAAGAATGCAATTCGTGTTCTATGCATAACGAATAATTCGATAGTAGTAGAGGAGATATAAATATGGAACATACACACACACACCCCTCCCCCCTCACGCACATATACGTACCACACCACACCACACCATACATAAAGAATGGCAAGATTTCTAACTTTGTGGATCTTGTATTCAAATTATACAACTTCGTGAATTGATAAATAGTGACACCGTCTATGTCACTTTACTTGATTATTTTATACTATAGAGCTACTTCCTACTTTTTGTATTTTGTAGTTTTCAACACGGGCGCAAAATCCATATCGGTTTACATATTTACATTAAAATGCATTCAGTAATTTCCACTTATTAATATTTTGAAACACTTGCTTTCAAAAGATGTTAAACAAATTTAATTTAATAAACAAAAAATAAAATAAATCTATTTCCAATAAACTGTCGAAATAACTTTTGCTTTGCAATTTATGTTTTGTGTGTAACAAATCAGGAAGCATACTACTTAAAAAATATTAGAAATAATTTCAAACAAATAAAGATTTAATACAAGTTAATATTCTATATTTTCCTGTCTAAATGTAAATGCTATAATCAAGAAATATATTAATATTTTTCTCATATCATGTATTTGTACCTCCTCTTCTACAGTTTACATGTTACAATCGTGTATAGACTGCACGATCTATTGGCGAAACGTAACTAACGTCTGACCAACGAGGCGCTTTCTCTACTGATAACATGAGCCTGCAAACGATCCTTTAGAAGCGGCAACCTCCGCAATGGTTTTGATTACGTGAAAGACGAGTTGCTATAGGCATGTGAGGTCGGTTTTAAATTAACGACTCTCTGGCATTTAATCTCCCCTACAAACCCATGGTTATACGTACCTGTTAAAGTAGGCCATCAATTGGAACATGGTGTTGAGATGCTTGTGCGTCCCGTTTTTGAGACGCGGCAAGTAACCGTAAGCGGTCAGTACGTTGTCGATGAGCATCGGGGCCCAGCAAATAGCGAACAACACCACAACAGCCACTAACATCTTCACCACCTGTTGATAAAGCATTTCCGAGCAGTCACAAAACAGTTTTCCGACACTTATAGGAGTCTTTATAGCTCTTGCGATATACGGAATATCTTAATATAGTATGTAGCAGTACTTACTATAGTATAAAACAGAAATATACCGAGTTTAACTAAAGTTTATCGTGGCGATAAAGAACGTGGGCGATTTTATCCCGAGTATATAAATAACAAAAGAGGTATTTCATCCCGTTAATCTAGTCACGATTACACACGATTTATGGTCTTTAGAAATAGCTCTTTCCTTAATCATTCTTTTAATATAAAATTAAAAGAAATTATTTTTTAAAATTATTTTTATATAATCTTTTAGACCTAATCTATGATCTATATCTATCTATATCTTTTTAAACGAATATGATAAATTCCAAATTATTAAACAAACAGTTAAAAATTAATTAATAATGCGATATTTAGGAACAATTCGATTATTAAGAGAGCCTGCAGACGCACGTATATTGTGAATTTATAGCTACCTATTTTTCAACATAGCAAACAAGTAAACAAAGCAAAATTTGCAAAATCAAACCTGCTTTATTGTCCGTGATTCATCGTCGTTCTCGTCCCGACGCGATTTACGCTCGTTTCCACTCTGTCGTTGCGTCATTGGTATAGATTCCGTGTCCACGCTGTTTGGACTCAATCTAAAACAGATGAAAATTGCGCTATGATCGTATGCAAGAGGATCTTGTACTAATTACGCATTGTTAATACTATCGATGTCATACACCACTGGTTCCGGAATGTGAACGGATCGAAAATAAATCAGTTATTCGCGAACTAAATTTCAAGCAGAGGCAAATAGATAGCAAAGTTTACGATTTTAATACAAAGAGCTTAAACAGATTTCTCTACAATTATAGATCCCTTGGCAAACTTAATAATAATAATAATAATAATAATAATTATTATTATTATTATTATTATTATTATTATTATTATTATATTCTTAATATAAAAATTTAATATTATAATATATGTAATACAAACAGTATATTCTTTATATCGCATTTTTTATATTTTCATTATGTTACTATGACATTCATAGATGCACATAAAGAATCCAGAAAAATTGTTACATTTTGTCCACATTATGGAATTTCCTTCGATCAGCATACGACAATTACATCTCGAGAAAATCCCTTTAAATTGATCGATATATTAAAACCATAAATTGGAGAATAGTTTAAAAATGAGGTAATTTATCCATACAATTAGAGATGTTTATTCAATGGCCCTCGATTTTGTATGTACAGTATTCTCAAATTAATGGCAATAGATAAAAACGCTTTCTCCTCTATGCATTTAACTTTTTTTTTCAAATGCATAGCAAATTTTCTAAAAAAAATCTTTGTACTTTTCTCGATAAAAGAAGTCTTAAGTAAAAACTTAAGTAAACGAAAAGTGATCGTATGTTTTAATTAATTAAAATAGTCATGAAAATTATACAATCATTATATTAAGAGCATTCTTTTTTTTTTTTTTTTTTTTTTTAAATACGTACGCTTATTTCGTTTGCATCTAATTTTTGCCAATTGAAAAGTTTGTCTTCAAAAGTCTTAAATAAATTTTATTCCTTTTCGAAAGTAAACAGAATTATATCCCAAGACATTTTGTTCTATATACTAATTAATACTAATTAATAAAACTCTTTTTAAAGATGCAGGAACTTTTCAATTTATTAGGTAATCTAAATATTATCCGAAATAAATTTCTCCAATTATCGGTAGAACAGGGAGATCTCTCGAGCTATTTCTAAATGCACATGTCGAGCTGCTGTTTAGAAACAGTTACTTACACGCATGAAGATGTTTTACGAGACGCGAGAAAGACGGTGAATCGAAGTCAAGTCATAAAGTACGAACGCATTCCTACATTTGCTATCATATTTGCCTATCGTCCTTGATCTATTTCAAGCAAACTGCCTGCGGCCTGCACTTTCCAAAGAAGCGCTACACGACTACGATCAATTACCAGGGGTTTGCTTTCTGCCTAAGTTAAATATCACTGCGCGTTCACATACGTAGCTAATAGTAACAAACACGATAATTCGTACAATTACAGTCCTTCTACGATATTTCTAATTCAATAAAATTTGTGTATCTTAGGCTTTAAATGCACGATTTGCATCTAGTTTGAAATCAAACTAGATAAGTTACGTTCCGTTTACACTTTCTCGTCTTCTTTTTTATTACATTTTAATTACATTGTATCTTCGATTCAAAGATTGACAAGGTGAAGGTTTGTTTCGATTTCGCGTTTGCATTACTCGCATTACGAGCCATGAAACGATGAATCGCGAATGAAATCTCGCGAGACGACATTATTTTATTATATACGACAGTTGCCAAACGGCGCGCGCAAAACACGTTATAAATTGAAACGCGATCCTCCTCGTCGCGTATTATCGTCGACCGATCTCGATATGAATTTTGACGGAATCCAAAAATCCAGCTATTGGATTGCAATTTACGGGAGCGTCGTGTCACGAAACGTCCATCAAATGTCGAAAAATGGTATTTTCCTCTCTCCCTCCCCTATCTTCCCACGATTAGTGATTGACGTTCACGACGAGATAATCGACGTTTCATACGAGACGAGAAAACACACTTCTCGATCGCTCGGGCTGTCGCACTATGAAAGGCAAATAGCAGTTTATATGCCCATTTGTGGATTATCATGTCCGCGTCTATATGGTATGGTATAACGAACGTCGCGCATAAATTAATGAGACGACGCAATCGGATTCACACCGATTAGCCTACACATGGTGGAATAAACGATAGAATTCAATCGTACAAAATTTCCAAACGCGCGCGCGTTTGGTGCGTATTTCATGAGATATTATTGCTACTAATAAATTTAACGATCTATTTTCATTATCTATAGCTTTAATAAGCTTTATATAATTCAAAAAATTTTATTGCTTTAGTCTAAAAATTCTGCAAAATAACATAAAAATAATCCTCATTATTATTTTCTCATTACAATTAATTATCTGTTCCATTTCTTGATTTTTTTTTCTTTTCTTTTCTTTCAACAATACATGTCTTGATAAATGTTTTTATTGAAAGATGTATATATTTCGAGATTTAAAAAATTCAGTTAAGGTACGAATGTTACGTAACTAAAGTCTTAAAAGATATATGTTTTCGAGTAAATTTTCTAATTTCTCGCAAAGTAGAAAAAAAGTATGCATTCAAGTAAAAAACCCGGTATTCGATTAATCACCGTCACTTCGCGTTGATCCGAGGGTCACTGGAGATATTAAAATTATTCGAGATGGGCGCGATTGAACAATGCAATTAGAGAAATGAAACGATGTGTTTTCCGTGATTTATTTCGTTCAACGGTATAGAGATGGCTTGACTTCGATAGACAAAAAAATTGTACAAGTTTTAAAGCGCGAACGCTCTTTATAGGAATGAAAGTGGGGACGACATCCACTAACATGAGTGTGTATATGTATGTACAATCGTGTATGCGTATGAGTGTGCGTATGTGGGCGTCAATGTCAATAGCTTGACGGTTAGAAAGACTGTTGCGAATATCCTTGCTACCAGAAGTCGTACTTAAAGAGAGATTATACAAAGCGTCAATATAAACATAAATTTCAATTAAATAAAGACGATATTGATTACATTTTTCGAGAAGGTATACTGTAACCGAAACGCGAGAATTATTTAAAAGAGTAGAATTTTTTGTTCCAAACACCCGAAGAAAAATTGGATTTTCTCTGAACTTACGCGTGCCGCGACGTCATATGATATCGGCGCTTCATGACGCGCCAGATCTCCCAGCAGATGGTTGCGTAGCAAAAGGCCATGATGCTTAGCGGCAGTATCAGGACCACGATCAGCATGTAGATCTCGTGGAACCGCCACAAAAGTCCGGCTTCGGAATCACGAACGCACCAATAGGCAATATATTTCTCTCCGACCTGTTTGTGCGTCTGGAACACCGAGAAGGAGAAGATGGTGTGAATAAAGAGACACGCGAGAGGGGAGAGCGTGCTGCTCCAAAATCTCTAACGGGATGCGTAAAGACACGTTCTCTCATGATAGGCGACTTTTTCGCCTTCCATGCCGCACAATCGCGTTTATTATGTCATTAGACAGACATTTACATATATACCGGCGATAAGATTCCGCCGGCGCATACGAGAGAGATTTTTATCGCTCCCTCGCGTCATTTACTTCATGGCGCCATAAAAAGGATCAGCGTTGGCGCTCTATGCTTTATTAATCCTTTACGAGATGACTCTCTTTCTTTGGATACAACCAACAATCTTATGCATCTGATAATGGGATATTTATTGAACAATCTAAGATATGGAAAGAGAATTCTTTTAAATTTTTACATCCTTTTCCTGGCAAAAAGAAGAATAAAAGAATAACGATCACAAATCGTAACTGAAGCTAAATAAGAAGTCGTCTCAATTTTCAATGAAAGCTTTCGCTATCGAACACGCTCGTACACATCATTTACATTAATTTAAACACGAATATAAGGGTGTGTCATCTTTCTGTAAGATTTTTCAACGAGACAAAGAGACAGATCTGAGATAAAATAATAAATAATAAAAAATCTCTATTAATTTTTGATAAATACTTTGGAAAGGAAAAATAAAAAGATTCTCATTATTTCAAGAAAATTATGTTTGAAGTAAATGAAATTAAAAATAGGAAATAGCTGTTTTATAAATATAATATTTTGTCAAAAGCTTTTTGCGAATAATATCTTTAAGCAAGTATCTCTGTTTCGGGCACTGAATTCTTCTTCATTCGCGTTTCATTTTCGACGGCTCCATAACTTTTATGCCAGATCTGAAAAAATTTCATTTACTTCAATCCTTCATTTTTACTGTTTGGCGAGAGTAAAAAAAAAATGTCTTTCGTATAAGAACTTATCTACCGGTGAATTGCAATTTGAGAATATTATGCCTGATTCAAAAAATAAATTTTACATCTCGATTATAATCGGTTTATTTCTGATGTCATTGAAAAATTCTTACCTCGTGTAAAATAGAATTTTTGCAAATTACAACATTGAAAACGTGTCAATTAATGGTTTCGAAAGTTTTCTCTAAAGAAGAATTTAAAAAAGAAAATTTTGAAACTCCGATCTCTGTGTTCATATCCTATATTTAACGCTTACTCGTCATTCAACTTTAGATAACATATACGAGACAATCTTCATATGGGACAGATAACACTCGGTATCAAATGGCGCATTTAGCGTTAGGTGCGAAGTATGAATACGAATCAAAGTATCATTAACGCTAATTTACAATAGTTGTAACAATAAGACACACCTTGTACATGTAGATAATGAAATGTACTTATCAAGCCTTCTATTCGCACGAAAACGTCGCGTGCTCCAGGAAAGTTTCCACCAGCTGGAAATCCAATCACGTTGGATTCTCTCGATTTTCCACTACGCGGCCGATTATCCCGGCTTAGCGGCGTATTTTTTTAACACTCATTGTCAGATAAACCGTCGTTTCTCAAAGTAAGTGGGTGGAGCGAGGTATATCAGCTTTATCGGACACATAATTACGGGGCGTATCGTTCTCGGATTTCGTGATTGTATCTAGTGTGAACGAGAACGAAATATTGCCGAGTATCGTATTGCGTACGCGAATATCAAAGTTAATCAATGATGCCGTGCGCCGTGTAAAACAGAATAATAATTGCCAGTGCGAAATTATATATACAAATATGTATATAACTTCGGGTGTATTGTTTTCGTTCAGCAAAAAATCGCTCGAAGGCTCGATATCGTTTGATTTATTTGAATTCGTATTTAATGGACTTTTAATATGTGCGCGCAGAATATTTTCCAGATCTGTAGCAAACGGCTTAATATGTTATAAATTCTATCGGATATAAATTCTAAATTAATCCATTGAAATATACTAGTGTAATATCTCAACAAATTTTTTCATCCATTTCTCCTTAGCGAGAAATTGTCGAGCAGCGTTAAAAGATAAAGAATAACATGCTTTTCGTAAATTCGGCATCCGCGGATAGAAAATTAATTATTTAAGCAAATTTCACTTTTATGTGGCTTTAATTAGAAGTTAAAAGGATTTAATGCTGAAAATTAAGAACAATGATATACAATTTAATTAAAACATCAACTACAAATATGTGAGGAAACACGCGTACCTGTGTAAAAATCATTGGAATTCCCAGTAGAAACGATGCAATCCAAGTTATAATCACGATCCTGCGAGCTTGACTTATGGTGCACGTGTATTGTGCTCTCATTGGATGCACTATCGCATAATATCTGAAACAATATCAAATTAATATAAACTTTAAGAAAGTTAATTTTAAATATTAATATGTATGTATCAAAAGTAGAGATATAAAATATCACAGGAAATTTAGTTAAAATACATTATATCGCTGTGGAAAATAATATCTATTGAAATAAAATCGATAGTTTTATTAAAGATTTTATCGATAAACGAACGAATCGCTACTAAAGCAATAAAAACGCAATTGCGCGAGGTATTTCCGAAAAAGGTTTCATACGTTAATTGCGATTCTCGCAACGTCATTTCTAAATTTATAAAGCGTGTTATCCTGTCTTACGAGATACATTATTTGGGAAATAGCATTTGATGGGTCGCAAATATTAATTTGAGCGTATTTCATCAGCGTTCCGTTTTTGCGGCACAAAAAAATATGATAAAACCGCACGGTTTCTAAGAGATCGCATAATAAAAAATTTAGCCGCGTAGCCATTTTATTCGCATATCACGTCGCGAAATATTTCGAAATAGCTATGTCGGACCTAACCATTTTATGCCGTAAAATGGTGCGTCCAACGTGAAATCTTAGTGAAGTCGACTATTTTGTGTGTATACTTAGCCGCATACCTTCAACCCGCAACTACTGCGGTGTATGTTGTTAAAATTGCGCACTCAAAGTGAACATTTAGAAAGAATTACATACAAAAAGGATTCAAATTTCTACGCGAAATAAGTCCAAACAAAATTAAAAAATGAAAAATTTAATTCGTAAATTTAATTTTTAATTAAGAGAAACGAAGCAAAAATGTATATCGCGGAGTTTCATTTTTAAAAACATTCTTTGTCTTCGAAATAAGATATTGCAAATAGTTACTAATTTTTTTCTACATACGTTCTTCTTCTGCCATTTTATTAATTTAATAGTAAACACTCTTTGACCACACTTCAAAACTGATTTTTTTTCTCAACAAGAGTATCAAGATATTAAGATACCTATAATTTTATAATAATTGATAATTAAAAACAAGAAAATTTCAGCGAATTAAAAGAAAATGAATGACAAAACCGTAGTTTTTAGTTAATTCAAGTAAATTTTAATAAAAATTTATTTAAAAAAATTGTGTCAATAATTAAAAAATTGCAATACAAAAAATGGGATAATCTTAATCGACATTTTTATAAGAAAAAGATCAACTTCAAATGGGTTAAAAAAATTTATCGTTAGAATAGTGCATAACATGCGTAGAACAAAGAATCGTATCTGAGCTTTATTAAAATAAAAATTTTCGAAAAGAGAAAGAATTTTATTGCAAAAGGTGCTTTGCGAGCTTGTGCTTGTTCAATGGATTGAGAAAAAACACCTGCGCGAGACTGTATATAAGTAGGAGGCTCAAATTATGAAAAAAAAAATTTAGCCAAGAGATTTTATTCAAGGAAAAAAAGCGCTTATCGGGTTGAACTTCTCAACTGGCGAAAAAAGGAGTATATAACATAATAGAATAAGGATAGAATAAGGAGAATAGAACAGATATATAATAAGCGGGTAGGATAGATACACCGAATCGGGTAATAGGGTGGAAAAACGGTTGAAGCATTTATGCTGCACCCTGTGCTCTCCGCTCTCATCTACGGAGATTTCTGACAGCGAATTTTCCCCTCTTTGTTCGCGTGCAACGAGGATAAAAGGGACCAGAATGGCCGTCTCCTCCTTGTTTTCGGCGAACGGTGTTATCGTCATCACATGAATACAAATTGCTTGACCGTTTGTATTCGTGTAGTTGCGCCGATAAGGGCGGCGGAATGAGTCAAACGCGGAACGAAAACAGCAAGCCCGGCTTTTTTATCGCCTTCGAACCGCGTTCACGTCTTCACGTTTTACGATCGCCGCCGAGATATGCAACCGCGCAAATATCGTTTGACGTTTCAATAATAATTTTTTCTCATCATCGTCATCGAAGATATAAACCGCGTTAACGGTGTTTCAAAATTGGATGAAACCGGGATGGAATGTCCAATACGAGACGCGATCATTTCTAGATCAAGTTTCCGTTTGTATCACGAAGAACGAATAAAAAAGGATTGAACTCCATCTCTCTGAAGGGTCGATAAACATCCCCTGTCGCTCGTAACATCTTTAAGCGATACTCATTCCAATCATTCACATGCTTATATACATATATGTTAGCATTCAGCGTACAGTAAACATCACATACTCTCCTTTTAATATAAAAAGTGGAAATGTTATAAGAGGAAGAAACTCAGTGCATTAATATATTTTTAACAATATGCATTAATAAAATATAGTTTTAAAAAACATGATAAAATAAAAGCTGGTACTTTTAATCTAATTTATGGATATTCTAATCATGGCATATACGTCTTTGTCAGGGCATATAGTATGACATGTAATATTGTTCGATGATAATAACTCAAATTGTAAAAATTTAACATTTCCTTGCTTCATCATTCCCATTCTTCGATTACACAAAATGCGTTTCATTGTTTCATTGTCAGACAAATTTGACATGTGTAAGATGTATGCATCAAACTACAAACTTAAAACGCTGTTTCTATTATTTTGATCTAGAAAAAACCTGCAAACATGTTTACAATAGCGGATATGTAAATTCGATATTTATGTATCGCGATAATTTAATAAACATCAAGATAATTTTTGATTATTCACTTTTTCTTCGAAAGAATGTACCATCGATTAGAAAGAGTCTGTATATATTCCTTGCATGTGGATTTTCTCATCACTATTATATAACTGTCGATTGTATAATGCTGTTAAGTATTATACAATCGTTACTCGCCTATATTGTTGTGCTGATAAATTAAATTTATTTAAGCGGCTTATATATGAGACAGCCACAGACTTCTATATATTATACCTAGACTGCTAACAGCGATATGACAGGTGAAGCCAGGACAGCCATTTACAATTGGGCAAAAAAAAATATATATATATTGGGTTAATATACAATGTATACACACTTACATTCTTACATAACACTATATATATATATATATATATATATATATGTATATAT